CCCGCCGCAGCCCGGCGGCCTGGACCCCAGCCCGTTCGGCTCCGACCAGAACGCCATGCTGTCCCAGCTCGCGGGCATGGGGGGCCTGCACGGGCCCGGCGGGGCGGACATGCTGACGGGCAGCAACCCGGATATGGGGGTGTCCCACAATCCCCTGGATATCATGTAGCATTACATCGCTGTGGGGAAGCACGGGGGCGAACCTTGGACTCCTTTCGTTTTTTTGTTTTATAATTTTTATTATTAATAATATTTAATTTTTTTTCCATATAAATGAAAATGAACTTCCTGTGGGAGATGCTACAATAATAAACAGTAAAGTGAATGAATAAAGTAATTGAATGGTAAGTTATTAATGTTAATAATTTTGCTCTTGGCTAATCGTGATGAGGCTGGCACGGACTTCTCCACCTCAAGACCTGATGTTTTTTTTTTGGATGGGTGGGCGGGGGGGGAAGGAGAAAACGGGGAATTTCACCTTTTTAAATATTTGTAAAGGGTTTTAAAGACAGTGGAAATCAAAGCGAGTTAATTTAATGCCATGGACTTTTTTTATTGTGATGATGACAAATGCAATGTTTCTTTCCCTGTTCTCCCGAGCCCTTGACAATGTGCGGCTGTGTTTTTGGAGATGGGGAGCGGGTGGTGTCTGTTTCTTTCCTAATCTGAATATTATCCAAGTGTATCTGCCTTCGGGACGAGCCTGGGTCAGGAGCTCTGGTCTCTGCCGACACCGAGGAGGGGGCGGCTGAGGATGACGAGTATGTTTATGTTGATGCCGTGTTCGCGTGTGTGCGGTCAGGGAGAGGGGGCGTGAGCCGTGTAAACACGGGTGTGGTCAGGGAGAGGGGGCATGTGTACGTGGACATCTGTGTGCGATCAGGAGGAGGGCGGGAGCCGTGTACACGCGTGTGCGATCAGGAGGAGGGCGTGTGCCGTGTGCGGTCAGGGGAGGGGGGACGGACGTGAGCCGTGGACACGCTTGTGCTCAGCTGGAGAGTTAGGGGGTTTCCTGCTGGGACACGATCAGTTGCTTCTGTTTTAATGCACCAAAATGGCACTTGAGATTGTTTTTCTACTGTTTGTCACTTGTGGCTCCCTGTCTGCTCAGGCTGTTCACACTCCTTAATAAGCCCGCCTTGTCCTGTGCCCCAACAGGACAGTTCGCGCTGACCTCTCCTGGACACGAGCCGGGCGTTCGTGACCCGCCCCAGCCTGGGCCCGGACACTGCCTCCCTCTCGTCCGCTGTCCCTGCCCCGATCCTGGTGTTTAATTTAATATTTTTTACTGTACAAAACAAACTGTGGACTTTGAAATACTGTTTTTTTTTTAAATAATAAAATAAGAGTTTAAAAAATCGTCTTGTACAGGCTGGAAGATTTTAAACAGGGATTTGGTGGGGACAGCAATGCTCGTTGTTTTGGATCGCGGCGGGGCGGGGGGGGGCAGGGGGGAGACTGGTCCATCCAGCTCGAACCCGGGACCGCCGGAGGGGTTTTCCTGTCTTCCCATGTGGCAGGTTGTGTGCTTCAGTGCTGCGCTTGAGGGGCGAGTGAGGACTGCGACTCCGGGCCTCAGCGTCTCTTTCACACAGAAATCAAGGTTTTTCAGGTGGGAGGGGTGGCTGTGTCCACCGTCATGCACAGTGTGCACAGTCAGTGGCAGTTTTCTGGCTTGAGACTTATTTTCTAAAAAAAAAACGATAAAGGGTTAAAAAACTGGTTTTTATATATAAATATATTTTTTTTTTTTTTTTTAGTGGTGACCATGTACAGGCGCCAGTGACCACCTGTTCTCTGACAACGGAAATCATGCAATTCTGATGATGTTATTATATATAAATATCGAATCACTGTACAGGTCTTCACAAGTGACTTTCCTTTCTTAAATTGTGATAAACCAGAGACTCATGGACTGGAGGATTAAAGCGTTCGGAGATTTTTTTCTCTCTCGTTTGTTTTCTGGTGCTTGCTGAACGGAAGCAAAAACCTGCGCTCAAGTTTTGTTTTAAATATTTTATTTTTTGGGGGGGGGAGGGATCAACTTTTTTGCCAATTATTTAATTGTATATTAAAGTATGTTTGTACCATTGGAAAAAAATACCCACCCTGGTTTCTGCTCGTTATTTCTCCTCCGCACTCGCCCGGCGCCCGCGTGATCTGAGCTCGACACGCGCGATTGTTCCGGGTGCGACTGGCCGTCCGTGAACCTGTGAACCGCTCGCCCGGATGGGAAGAGCTCCTGCTCGTGGGATCGGTCCCTGTCGCTGATCGAGTCCCCTGCAGCTGCTCTCCCAGGGCTGCGAGCTCCTTTCCCGGCCTCAGCCCACCTGCTCTTGATGTCCCTGGGTCTACAGGTGTTTGTGGTCCATTCCAATACCCACTGAGGGGGTGATCCTGGCTCCTCGCTGGAGCTGGGGAGAATGGGACCACGTTCTGCGAGGATCTGGTGGAGTGCGAGTTGGAAGAGACCCCAGATGTGTCGGGAAAGAGACCCCAGGTTTTCTGCGTTTCATTCTGCCCTGGATCCTTGGGCGCACTGCGTCCCGTCCAGCTTGCTGTGTGGTCTGGAGTTCTGCTGAACACGTCGGAGGTTCGCTGTGTGACTTAGTTGGTGGAGGCCATAAACTCGCCAGTTCTACTTCTGAGTAGAAGGGGCACCGTCGGAGGCGTTCGACTGCGCACGGAGCTCGGAGCAGACGTGGAGGTGAAAACGAGGAGGGGAGGGGGCGGCTGTTTAACCCCCAGGCCTGTCCCAAATTACTCTCCCTCCCCCCCCCCCTCCTCCACTTCACTTTGCAGGGGCTGGGGCTCCTGGGGTGGCGCTGCTGAGCTGCTAGTGGCGATTCAGAGGAGGACCCCGACATCAGTCTGCACAAACCTCTCCACTGATGCGCCCCTCTTCCAATCGCAGGGTGAGTGCACAAAGGGTCTGTAGGTCTCTCGAACCGTGGGCCAGGGGCGCCCCAGTCCCAGTGTTATAGGAGTCCTTTCAGTCCGTTCCTGAAGGGCTGGAGCTGTAGTTGAACTGCGATCAAACGAAACACTTCACCCCTCCGGGACCGGAGTTCCCTTTGCTGAAGCACCACTTGCTGGTTGGATCTTTTCTCTCATCAGGTTTCCCTCATGTTTGCATAACAGCTGAGTTACAGTGCGCTGATAAAACCTGGACTGGGGCTCCCCAGTAGCAGGGGTAGAGACCCCCGATTTGACTGGGACTGGGGCTCCCCAAGTTCATGAGCAGAAACCCCCCTGATCTATAGGATAAACTGGACTGGGGCTCCCCAGGCCCAGGGGTACAGACCCCTAGGTTATAGGACAAACTGGACTGGGGCTCCTCAAGCCCAGGGGTACAGACCCCTAGGTTATAGGACAAACTGGAATGGGGCTCCACAAGCCCAGGGGTACAGACCCCTAGGTTATAGGACAAACTGGACTGGGCCTCCACAAGCCCAGGGGTACAGACCCCTAGGTTATAGGACA